CTTGAAATGGGTTTATAAATTGGATTGTGCAACCCCTGCACACAAATGTCCATTCCAAAGTAAAAAAAAACCTGGCCGATGAAGGTTGTTTTATGACATATGGGAAAAGTTGTCAATAGAACAGTACTCAACAATCAATTTGTCAATTGGCAAAGTACAGTGTAAACTAACAAAGGCTTTAGTTGACATGACACTCTCATCACAGTCTTGTGTCAAAAAGAGGCATAAGGGTCTGTTCATATTACGTAAAATTTTGTTTGTTTTGCAAAAAAATCTGCAAATGCAAAACCATTTTCAGTGCAAATGATTTGTTTGACCCACCAAAATTTTCTCGAGTGCCACCAAACTTCAAAGATGCTAACAACTAGCTTTGGAGGCCTACAATTGTGGATGATTTGAATGTGATATTTAAGTCAAACCATACAGTAGATAAGTGTATGCTCAAGATAAAATAATTCATCAACAAATACATGGAAAAGAAAGACTGGAATCAGAACCAAAGTGGTGGAAATCATGAGTCTCCTTTTTACAATAAGATCAACAAGGTTCTCAGGTGTCACTATTTTGTAACATTTACAAATGTAGAGGAGAGTGCAGTGGCTTTCCCAGCCAACACTTTCACTGCCTTGGCTAAAACAAGTACAAGTACCAGCGCTTCATCATCTCCAAAAGGATCTGCCACAAGTAGTGATGTTGCCAATCATGAGAAAACACTGGACAATGTCCAAAAGGAACAAAGGCAGCAGCACAAGAAAAGGCATACAGCAGCCAAACATGAGGATAGTGCAATAGCATCAAGTATGGAGGGAGTAAAGAGCAAGGGGATAAATTGATGAAGGTGTTGGAGGGGATGCAGAAATCTCAAATGGAGCAAATTAAAAATTATGCACAAATATAAATGCTTTCAAATTAGGTAAAAAATGGTGTTCCCGGTTTTGATCATTTGTTTAATTAGAAATTGTGAGAGTTCCTTTTAGAATAAGTCTTAGGGTTGGCATAAAAAATAATGCATCCTGCCAATCCCACCTGGGATCCACAAACTTTCAAAATCCTTGCTTTATAAATGGCCAATTGACCATTGTTTATTTGTACCAGTAGAATGGCCAATCGACCATTGTTTATTTGTACCAGTAGATTTGTCAACTGTTGTCCCTTCTTCTAACTCCAATGACTTTCTTTTCATTTACACCACTCATGCTGTTCTCATTTTTCCACTGAACCACAATAGAACCCATCTTTAGAAATGTTATATTAAGCAAAACAGTTGAAAAAAGAAATAATTTGATGTACGCTTTATCAACTGATGAAAAGTACATTCAAAGATGAGCGCCAAATGGAGTTTTCTTTGTTTGCAATCATGGGCATGATCACATGGATCTTTTGGGAATTGTCATTTGTTAGCAAAGAGAATCTGCTGACTTGCCCAATTGCAGTCTCAAGAGAAGTGCACAAAACTCTTCTGACTTCTCTGGCCGGTTCTCTGCTCTTGGACAATGGATATCTTGGATCCATGTTCTGATGACGATATAAATAATGATGTGAATTCACTCTATGTAGAAATAATCGACAAGAATCGAACAAAAATGCACGATTTGTGGCTGAAAGTTGTCGAGGAAACAAAGAATAATAACCCTCTTGAGTTATGTTCATGGCAAAGGTGGGAAATAACACAAGCCAATCACAATTTTGAATGTGATTACAATTGTGTTTTACCTGCATTTTTATAAAAAAAGGATACCACATTAGGAAGTATAAGAGATACCTAGGTGATCCCAGTCTACCAGTACCCAAATCAAAAAAGCTTGACTGTAACAAGCATTCAGTAACACATTCCAACCTGAATGAGCCAAATTAGTATCTATAGGTCTTCAATATTACCACACTTAACATAACACAATATTATTGTCAGAAAATCTGGAACTTTGCAAAGGCATCCAACAAAGAAAACTGAAACATAAGGGGGAGAAAGCCCTAGCGACTGTCAACCTCAACAAAACATCCACATATGAGCAGCTATTAGTTAAGGCAAACCGACCATCTCTAAACAACAGAAGACTACAGGATATACTAATACTGATGTATAACGTGAAACATAGTATGGCACATAGCTACCTTTGTGACCTGTTTAGCCCAAGTAATAAGAAGTATAATTCAAGAAACTCTGACTTTAACTTGCCAAGTTTTAGAACAGTTAGGTTTGGAAAACATTCAATTAGGTACTTGGGACCACATCTATGGGCAAAATTATCTAAGAAAACTAGGGAATCATCATCTTTAGCTATTTTTAAAAGAAAAATTCATGAGATGGACATAACAATTTTAGAATCTAGTGGCTGTAACTTGTGTATTCTATGTAACAGCTAATATTTCATTCACATTTTACTATATGGTTAAAGTATCTTTACGACACTTTTTTTTTTTAATTTGTACTCTTTTTTCTAGCATATATTTTCTGCATTTTTAGAATTGTATTTTAATGTTTATCCTTTCTTTTTAAAATTGCTTCTTAATATAGTGTCCCCAATTAGCATCATTATGATGCTGGATGCATTTGACACTCAAATAAAGATACTTATTTACTTACTTACTTACTTGTATATAAAGAAGGACTTGTATTTTGCACCAAAAATATAAAGACTGAAGTAACATTTTTTAGGAGGTCCAGTGATTAGGACATTTAAAAAATTAAGTTGTGCAAAGAAACTCAGTTTGTACATCTCACTACTAACAAGTCTTGTATATTGTCTGTAATTTTATGTAGTACTTGACACAACAACAACTTGTAGCTAAAGGTTCATGGAAACACTTCACAACATTATTTTGGGGAGTAGGAGTGAATAGGTCAACTAACATGGGCAAAAGAGATAAAATTGAAGGAATAGAGTGCTAAAAAGGTCAATATGTCAACAATCTTGTCACCATTAGTAGGTTTGCTGACAAAACAAAGCATTATAGGTTGAAACCCAATTCAGATCCCCACAACTAGATTTTGGTTGATGCTTGTGTTATTCACATTTAACTTAAGAAACCACAGGCTGTAATGACATGAAACTGCTAGCAGGGATTATAACTAATGGTTGTGACTTGTGAAGGCCTTTTGCCAGCCATCATTACAAAAAGCCATGTGTGTTACAAATAAAAATTTACAAACATATTCATCAAAAAGAACAAACCTCTTCGATAATATGATCTTTGTGTTCCTCTTGATTTGGCAAGTGATTGTGCATTTGATGTTCAAACTCTGGTTTCTGTCCACTGTTGATGTGAATCTTTAATTCAAATGAAATGTCCCTCCTGAGTTGCTTGGTGTCATCCTTGTTCTACACAGTAAAAAAAGTTCAATAGATCAATTACTTTACAACCTAGTTAAGAATAAAAATTCTTGGTTTTTTACATGTACTGTTAAGCAGATGGCAAATGTAAGAAAAGTTTTCCTGACTGTAACATCAAAATATCTGCATTATGAAGTTGAGCCAACTTTCTCTTTCTGTAGCTTTTGAATGGCATTTTGTGCTTATTAGTGATTCAGTATGTCTCTTAAGTGTTAAGTTATTTGAATAGGAATATATGTGTTGAGTAATTGAGCATTCACTATTCAATTCTATGAACACCTCTGCACAAGCAGTTAATTTTAATATGGACAAATTTCAAGCATCCCATTTCATGGATGCAGCAGAAGATAGTGTATCCATATTGGATCCATCCTTTCATAGCAGTCAGATCTACTTTTTCAATGTTGATTGGCTCTTTAACAGAAAACCTAATTCAATGGCTCTCATCAAGGCGAGTCAGTTTTGCTCAAAGTTTGCTCAAAGTAACAGAGCTACAGTTAAGCAAGTCACGAAGAAGGTTCATCGTGAGAACTATACCAAATATGTTTGGAAGTGAACTCATCATTTTCCATGTAAATTGCTCTGAAGCCTGCTTTTTTGTAATTAAATTCTTTTATTTTTTATTTCTCAAGTGAGAATCGTTTTTTTTAAACTAAACAAAGAAAGAAGCTGAGAAATTGACAAGGTAAGAAAGGGAGAGTACAAACAAGATAAAAGCTCTGTTATTGAATTTTGTAGATGTGTTTTTGATTCGCATCAGCTTTCATCAAGAGCATAAAAGTCTCATATGACAATGAGCAATCTGTGCAAAATAAATGAGTTATTGCGCACATTTTTTTGAAGAGTATCTTTAGTGGATCTTATCATCTGTTTTTGCCTACTTATAGTTTTAAAACTTTGCCAGAAGCTTTAAAAATTATCGTATTACCCTGTTTGTGGGAAAATTAACAGACTAACTGCAGGTAATCAGCCGAAAATTAATAGACTGCTACATGCCTTTATTTCACTCAGTTAAAAAAGAGGAAACTTACAGCCACAATAAATATTTTCCAAGGTATATTGTTTGGAGCCAAAATGCTTGTACCTGCATTTCAGTTGCACCCCTTACTTTTATCCTATTTCTCTGCAACCTATATGAGGACAAATATGGTAATATAAGTACTTGTATGACTTAATTACAGCTAAATTTCAAATTTGGGTTATATTTTTAAAGCCAAACAGGGACAAGAGGTGTTTTTTAATCGCATTGCAACAAACCAAATAGTTAACAATTAATGGGAAAAAAGTGAAGGTAATATTCTTGAATAATACCCTCTGCTTTATCGTGGGTATTATACAATAAGATTCTCAGAGCCTGAGGATGATTATTCTTTAATTATACTGTTATTGGTCCACTGATTAGCAGACTAACTGCATTTTCTTAACATCTTCCACTTCACAAACGTTAAGAAATTGGCCAATTTTCGAAATTAGTACTTCAGTATTAATATAATAATAATAATAATAATAATAATGAATCTTTATTAAGTCATAAGATAAATAATCACATATCCTATGTTACAACATTAAAAGAAGGTATATATATAAATTACAGAGAAAATCAAGATAAAAATTATAAGACTAGATTATGTTTAAAAACTAAGCGATTAACAAACGTGTTTTTGAACCTATCAGTGTTTATTTTAGGATGGTGACTTGTCTCTTTCCTCAGATTGTACTTGGTTAATTTCTTTTTTGGCATTATAGCTCTTAAAGGGTGTATTGTATTATTAAAAACATTCTTGAAGATACGCGTGTCCTGTTGAACTAACAATTCATAAACATTAATGTGATCGGATGTATACTTGCGCTTATAACATCGATCTAAGAAACATTGGATTGTTGTTAATTCGGAATTTACAGCGCCAAATACGGACAGCCCGTATAATATATTTGGTAGAACCAGATTTAGAAACAGATGGTCTATTTCGGCCTGATTGTACCCTTCTTTCCTTAAAGATCTTAAAATGAACAGGCACTTGTTTGCTTTAATTAGTTTAACATCATGCCAGTTGATTATAGCAAAATAACTAAATTCGTGACCCCAATCCAAATTCAGAGACAACTGTCAGGCATATGGTCATTTCTTTTTGTTACATTTTGTGTGTTATTGATGAGTCAGTTTCACAGATGGAAAGACAAGTGCACATAAATCATCCTTCAAACTGACATCAGTACACAATACTCTGGCCCAACCCAAAAAACTTTTATCAGGATAAAATTAATCAAATCTTTACTCAAACAAATTTGTTAAAAAGTTTGAACATGCATTTACATCATAAAATACTGCAAGAAACTACACTATCTCCTAGATAAAACCAATGTCCAAAAAAAATCTCACCTTACCTTTTTTCAGAAGGCATACAGCAAGCAAGCTGATAATTTCTGCCAGAGATGGGTAGCATCCCAAAATGTTTGCAGCACCATGATTTTGGCTCATTTTATTTGTTTCCATTGTTCTCTTGTTCATCACACTGTTACTAAACAGTCATGGGTCAAGCCATCACTTGTCAGTCACAAGTCACGCAAGCTCTTTTTGTGCAAGTGGATGTAATTGTTCTGAATCCCACAATGAAACTATTTTGTCAGAATAAAATTATGATTGATTGTCAACACTTTTTCAAAGTATTGTTGTGCTTATCTAAGGTTTTTTGTTTCCTAAATCTCCATTCCGACCCCTTCCCACTTCTTCCCCAAGCAGATTCCTAAACCCCAGCAACTCTTTTCATTTCTCTACCCACTTGAAAAATTGCTGACAGCCCTGCAAGGGGTAATGCTTCAATCACCTTTTGGACTCAAACCCAGCCCAAATGGCTATGAAGAGTTAATAACTGTGTGAAAATAAGAAGTAAAAATATTAAATTAAAATATATCTATTAAATTTCCATTATCCAAAATTTAAATGCATGCTACAAACATGACATTGAGGTGGCTCTGTGACAACATTGGGCCCAGTTGCATATAACACTGTCTTTCCAATCACATCGACAACCTCCTGGGAACTCGGCGACTCACGAAAGCGTTACCGTGCCCGTAGGCAGAGGTAGGAAAATACGGACCGCGCTATGAACAGATCAGATGGCAGGATTCGTTGCTGTGCCCTCTAAGAAAAAAATGAAACACTGTCTTTCTTGTCACATCGACAATCTCCTAAGTCTGCTATTCAGGTCTGTCAGCTGTATCGTTCGATCGTTGAATTTCTCGGTAACAGAACTCTAAAAGATCCAATGCACTAGTTCTATACTAAATGATACTATTCAAAGTTGGAAGGAAGCGAAAGGATAGCTGAATATGTACCGTAGAATACTAGTCACCTCAAACATTCCGCTATCTAAGATCGAGTAGGTCAGTTACGGTAAGAGCATGCGCACTGAGTTCTTATTTGGGCGCCAAATCGCTAATCACTCGAATGATTACAGAACGAATTGGACGACATGAATATTTCTGTTACCATTACTAAATCAACAGGTAGTAGAGCGTGTTGTTGCAATAAACGACAATCATAAGTTGTTTTTGCCTCTTGCTGTTGAGACTGATGCGTTTCCTGCGAGTTTTGTTAAATCTAAGGTCCTTACCTCTTGTCGAAGACAATTTCCTGCAAGTTATGTTTCAGTTTCCTCTCGCGTGCTTAATAGGCAAGTTGACAGCACGCAAACATAACAGCTTGTGAGGGAAGAATGCCTTATTCTTTTTAATCATTAAAAAAGTAATTCATTCGAAAGGTCATGTCATTTCGAGTTCCTTTTTAACCAGTTTCGCTCTGTCCTTCTCTTAAATCTTTTTCTAGTTCTACTACTGGTCATATCGTTGATCTCAGTCCATATATTGCGTTGTAGAATCTAAAGAAATTTAGTGAATGAAATCTGCAATGGTTCCCTCGAGTTCAGCGAAATTGCCTCATTAGAAGTCAGTTTTACGGCGGAAGAAAGAAAAGATTTTCAGGCACCATTAAAGGGAAAAACATTTTAACTATAACAATTCTTTCACACTCATTTGAATTTACTTACAGTGAATTTCCTTGCCATTTAAAAATGAACAGAGAAGAGAAACCTCCGTAGATTATTAATTCAAGAGTCTTACAGTCAAAAGATAGACGATTACTCCCATTAAACTACGAAAACAGACCTTTCCATGGGCTTTGATTAAGAAAATCTTGCGGAGCGTTCATGCGGTGACTGAATGTTGAAACGCTAATGCCGAAAAATCGGAAATAGTTAATTTTTGTGTCTTACCTCATGGGGGTGTGATTTTGAGATTTTGTGAGTTATTCCAAAGCTGTTTCAGTCGATCGATCTTTCTGGAAAATATCACACCATAGTAAACTCATCTGGCTAGAATTTGCAGCAAGTGTTGATAATGTTGATAACTTTCATTTTCTGTTCCTTTCTCGGAAGTTTTCCCCAGCGGCAGTGTGCATACAATAAAGTACTTTTCCTTCCTTTGCTGTCTGTCCTTCCTTTGAGAAATTCACGGGGAGCGATCGCAAATAAGGAAACACACTGTTCTCTCTCCTTATTATTAGCAATGGGAACCTTTTCAGAAAAGTACCCGAGCTGAGGTAAGATCCGTACAAAAACGAATTCGCGAACACGAATTTCACTATATTCTTGAACAGTTCATCGATGATACACTCAATCTTGATCTTGAAAATGTCGTTTCCTCACGATTAGGTTCTACGGTTAAAAAAAAAACAAATGTTGGAGATACAGCAGAATACAAAAACCGAAGGCACAAAATCTAGAGGCAAATCGTACAGACCTTATCGGCGTTATTCGTTTACATGAAACGGCCCAACTTGAACTTGAACGCTAACTGAACTAAAACTAAACGTGCAAGGTGCAAAATGTGCATAATGAAGGATGTTTAAGTGTACAAGAGTCCCTTGTGACCTAACGCTTGATAGTTCGTGCATACAACGAAAACAAAGAAAAAAAATTACCAAGTAAAGATGCTAATGCACATACCGCAATAACAACCAAGCTGGGATAAGATCGTGTGTATCGTCCACTTTGCTCAAACTGTTGTTATTCAAATTGAAATGTGCGACCAATGCGTGCGCAGGCATCCTTCACGAATCATACCATTGTGTAGAGATTTTCTTAGTCACATCAAAATTAAAGAAGCCGTTTAGACTTGATCCTGTTCTCAGTTGTTATGGATCTAGTTTTTTAATATCATCCTATTTAGTAAAATCGTGCCAATGGAACAAAAGTTAAATCAACAACACGTGCGTATCAACAATCGCCTAACAAACTATAAAAGCCCCCACGTTTGATAAGTCACCAGGTTGTGCCTGGCAGGTAACATTCAACTTATTAAAAATAACAGGATTACTTGACTGGCTTAGTTTACTTGGATTTTAATTCTTTTCTGTTTGTGGCTCCATGCTCATTAGGACTCTTAGAGCGTAGTAGAGACGTGCTGATAGGGACTGTAACGAAAACGACTGAACTGGTGTGGCAGGCGCAGTGAAAAGATGTGGCAAAGCGCGCGCACATCCACGGTTTTAAGTTTGTAAACTTTATCAAGTGGCGAATGCGATTATTACGTGAGCCAATTGGAGTTTGCAGTTGAACGGTCGTATTATGTGGATTTTTTTGTCTGTGATGCCATTTCAATGGGGGTTTTTGTGATTTCATTGTGAGTCACAGAAACAGGCCATTACTAGGTTCATTTATGACACGTCCTGAGAATTGCTACGATATGCAAATCCAAAGTATCATGTGAGGAAACAGATTAAGAAATTTAGATCAGTCATTTTGAGCTCGTTAATGAACTAGAGAAGCAGATTGATCACAGAGCTACTCAAGCGAGAGAGAGTTCGGGTTATCAGTCAATAATACTCAATTTCCCGCCATAACAATCAGCTGATCAATGACGTCAGCACCAGCTTGCTTCATTACCTTCTGTGACATCATAATCACTTCTCGCTTTGGTTTTCATCAGCAAGGAAGCAGATTCGTTTGGATGTGAGCTTGAATTTGGGAAGCTGATCTATATTATAACGTAAGAAGTTGAACAAATGACCAATAACGTCCAAACCTGTTGTTATAACAGTGGGCGAAAGTTCCGATGCGAGCCATGATGAGGAGCGCGAAAAATGGACCTCGAAAAATTATTTCATAGTGTCATGTATCGGTTATGCAGTCGGCGTGAGGAATATTTGGCGTTTTCCGTATCTTTGTTACAAGAACGGCGGAGGTAACTTCCTTAAGTGTGGATATCTATTACAACCCTTTTGTAGGAGTGTAGGTTAGGTTAACAAGACCACACTTTTTAGAGTTGCAAAGTTTTTGCAACTCAAAGAAGTTGTATTGTGACATGCAGTGTCTTCATCGTCCGCCTGTTTTAAATGGCTCTTTTACGATGTTCTGCTCTGAACTGCTCTCCGCTTTCCTTGTTGGAGAGTACGACATTGTACCATCTCTTGTTGACCAAGTCCTCTCGTTCTGTCTGATCTTAGTCAAAATATTGTAGCACTTGAAACACTTTATTTACTTGAAGAATAAATGCCTCTTACTAACCGAGTTCGAGGGCCGTACCGTAAGTTACGGACTGAACTTTTTTCGTTCGGATTATGGCCTAAGCCCTAGGGGCGCGGGCCATAAAAAACAAAGTACCTTAACTTACAGTACGGACCGAAAAAAATGAGATTGGCAAGATATTTATTATATCTCTTGATTCAAATGGAGGGGTTAACGATTTCAATTCCAGTGGAACTATCATTAATGATTGACGCGCGTCAAATCCTAAGTACAGGAGCATTTTATTGGTTTCCAACAAAAACTGGACATAGAGTCCTCAAATGCCCGAAATCTGCAAGGTACAACATGTTTCTTCGTAGAAAGTGCGTAGAAAGAGTGAAGGGCTAACTTTGTTCAATTTGAACGTCAAGTGAACGAATGAATTTGATCAATGCGATCGAAAAAAAACACAAAGATCTTTTAAACGATTAGCATCCAATTTTTGGTGTTTTGCGGCGTTTTGATGGAAGCTTCCAGGTGAATCACTCAGTGCAGACTGAACAAGATTAAAGACTGATGGAAATTTAGCCGATTTTTGTTGACGCGAAGAAAGAGGGGTGTGGTATCACTCGTTGCAGAGGAAAGAGGGATGTGGCATCGTTCAGAAGCTGAACCCATTTGGTAGGTTCAACTCCCAAAGCTGTCTGGTTCGTACTCGCCGCCATTTTGCTTGGAAACATCTTTAAGAACTTGCTAAGGACCTTGTCGAGAGCAGCAGCAGCTATGTTCATTACATGAAAATTTACATCGACCTGCTGTTCCCCAATACCCTTCAAACATTTTCTACTCGTATTTCGTATTTTCGCCTTTCGTGTCTGACGACCTTTCGGCAGCGATGAAATCATCTAGTTCTCGAGTCGAGTTGTCTTCGTCGTGCTCGTCTTTCTCCATTCGTCGTTTGCCTTCCTCCAGAATCTCGAAGAAACCAACTTGAAAGTCTGGGATATCTGCCTCTGAGTTTTGTTCTTTCTCTTGAAATGTGCTTCAAATTTTTCTTAGGGAGACATTTTGGCGATCCAATTGTGGGCCGTACAGTGAAATGCGGTCCGCTTACAATGCTCACAGTGACCTTGTAATGGAATATTTGAGTCGAAATCGTTTTACTTCAAAGAGACCTTTTCCGTTTCTTTTGTCATACTTTTCAAATGTTGTAAATTTAGAGAACAATGGAACCTCACACCAGTTCATATTTGAGCAGGTACATTATAAAGCTTTTTCGATTACATAGACGACTGCGTACCGCTTACGTTGATTACGCAGTTGTGCATGCTCGAGGTCAATTGTTGGCCTGACCTACTAATAAAGTCTACTGTGGAACCAAAACGCTGTCTTATCCTTGACGTCCGTAAAAGCTCGCTTGTAGAAGATCGCCGTGTACCAGAAAATCGTAACGAGTTTCCGTTCCCACTGCCGAGTTGTCTCTACGGAGCTATTTTTCCCCTATTGTTGTTGTGCCTCCCACGAGAGTTCAGTTCAATTGTGCGCGAAAACCTATCGTAACACAAGCTCTCAGCCTCTCGAATGTCAAAAGTTGTAGATTGATTTAACAAGTCAGCCTATCAAAGCTTCAAGGAAGTAGAGAGCCATAGAAACAACAGATAAACAGCAAAGCAACACAAATAGACAATCATTCTTTGAGAAGATAAGCAAGACTGTCAAAACATCTACAACTTGAAAGCCATAACCAATGCGAAAACGTTAGAGAAAGAAAGAAAGAAAGTAAGATTTCAAGAAGATGTTCAAGAAGACTCCTCTTTTCGAAAATGAAACAGGAGAGAGTATGACCTGTTTTAAAGCTTGGAGAGAAATGTTTCAGAGCTCACAGAAAAGGATGAAGAATTTCAGAATGTATAAAAAATAACAGACTTATAACAACTAGGGCAAGAGAAAAATAAGTGTACAAGGGGAAAAAAATTTCTTGCATATCAAAGTGAAAGGCAAAGACTGTAGCATAAAGCAACTCGTAGACCAAAGAAAATAGCTGGAGTTCTCTTGCATGTCTTTGAAAAATGTAGGATTGTGGCAGAAAAAAAAAGACATTTGTTTTTCAGTAAGCCGATCTCATAGCGAGAATAAGTCCTTGTAAACAAGTTTACTTTAAGCCTATTGCTTGTGTAAATATCTTATCTTATTTTAACCTGCAAAGATAGAAACTCCTTCGTTAAACATTGCAGTACTGAGGAAGTTAGGCGTTGTTCTGCCGTACGTACATGATAGAAAGTTTGCCATTTTGCCACTTTTGAGCGTATAAGCTTCGCCTCATTTCACTTGACGTACGTACATGTGTGAAGTACGTGTGTGAAGTACCTCTGCAGTTTAATAGGCTTTGAAATACCTCTAGACTGACAGGGGGAACAAACCTCTGATAAAGTACACACATACAAACCTCTTTCGTCTTATAAATATGAGTGTGATTGGGTCGGCTCTTGCAATGACTGTGATCTCTTAGTTGTGCGAAGCCTTCCTTATCATTAACCCACCTGCTAAGCGAGAATGTTTCGACTGCATTTCCCCTGGTTTGCGAGCTAAAATCAGTCCACACTTCTCTCTCCTCCTTCATATTACTCAAGCATATACATATATGTTATTCACCAGACGGGAGGTCCGTAGTAGGGAAAACTGTGCCCAAGGCCTCGGGCGGTATCCAAGACCTCGGGCACAGTTTTTCCCAATACGGACCGACCTTAGCTGGTGAATAACATTTTTCTTTTTTTCTAAAACCTAACAAATGGTTGCGAAAAGAACCTGAATGATAAAGGGCTGTAATAACGACAAGATTCTTCATAAACGGAACAATTTATGAGCGAGTAGATAGTAGAGAAAACAAGGGCAATGCAAATGAAAGAGAGAGGTTTCACCCAAACATATCTATATGCGTAATGATATTAAAAGGTGATTTAAAAGGCTTCCAAGAAAACTTCGAAACTTTTTTTGAAAGGATCGGATACCGCCTGCTGTGAGCGGGCCGGATGGGGAGAATACTGCCCG